TTCATGTTCTTGATCTTCTGTTGTCCTTATTACGAGCTTTGTAAATACGTCCCTCCTGCTTGGGCCCTTCACTGGGCCTGCAGTATTATGTAAATAAATAAATAAAAACCATGGCCTGATTGAATGCCGCCAGTCTTTTCTTAAGTTTTGAAGGAAGCGGAGAAGAGGCCTTTCGCCAAATTTGCTCGTTAAAGCAAAAAGTGCTGGCGGTCACCTTCAACGAAAGAAGGCAGACCGCGATCACAGATTTAAAAAAAAAAAAAAAAATTGTTCTGCCCTACTCGCAGTGTACTATTGTTGTTCTTCAATTTCATTAGTTCAAACTTTCGTTAATTCGAACTGAGGCGGATTCCCCTTCCTGTTTGAATTAACGAGCTTTTACTGCATAAAAAAGCTAACTTTGAAGTTATCAATAACCATTTAGGCAGTTTTCTTGAAACGTTTTTGATGAATTTTGATAAACGAAGCTTACAAGAAAACTGGGATTTGTTTGCAGCAAAGGTGAATGAGCTAACACAAAAATTCATTCCTACTTACACTATTGAATCTGATCAAAAAACACCATGGTACAGCGTTAATTTAAAAAGATTATCTAACAAAAAGAAGCGCCTCTACAAATCAGCAAAGCAATCTTCACCCCCCCGCGCGCTGGTCTTCCTATAAGGCCGCGCATGGCGCTTACGTAGCAGCAATAAAGAACGCCAAGATTAACTTTCTACAAAGCACATTGTCCCGCTTGTTAACAACGAACACGAAAAAGTTCTGGCGTACTATCAATCCGAGTAGTAGGGAGCACTTAACACTAATCGACACTGATAGAACAGCTACCCCTACTCATATGTGCACAGCCGCTCTTAATGCCATGTTTATAAGCAACTTTTGCCGGAACACTACTTATAAAATCACTGAAACTTTCCTCTGCTCCAGGTTGTGACAAAATATGCCAAAAATTTTAAACTAACACATGTACCTATTCCTCAATTATATTCACGAAAATTTTCCAGCAAACACTTGATGAAAGTGAAGAACCTTCCTGCTCGATTCAAAATCGGGAAGGTTGTTCCCCTACATAAGTTTGGTAACAAACATTCCCCGCTCAACTACAGGCCTATTTCACAAACCAGCATTTCATGTGAAATTCTCGAGCACATCCTCTTTTCTAATCTCAGCAAATTCCTGAAGTCCAATTCCTTTTTCTTTTTTTAATCGCAGCATGGCTTTCTAAAGACCTACTAATTTCCTTTACACATTAGCTTAACCTCAGTCTCGACAACTACTCAGTTTCTGATTGTATTTTTTAGACTTTTCTAAAGCTTTCGATAAAGTTTCTCACAAATTACTCTTACATAAACTGCGCTTGCTTAACCTAAATGACAAGCTACTAACATGGCTAGAAGTTTTCCTTACTAACCACTCCCAGTTCGTTTCAGCTAACAATTATGACTCCGAGCTCAGCCGCGTCCACTCAGGTGTGCCTCAGGGCTCGATATTGGGTCTTCTCCTCTTCCTAAATTTATATTAACGATTTGCCAGTTTGCGATTCTTTCCACATCAATTTGTTCGCCGATGATTGTGTAATTTATCGTCCAAAAAATCTCTGACGATGTCATAACATTACAAGCAGATCTAAACACTGTAACATCTTGGTGTAAAATCTGGTGCATCGAGCTTAACACTAACAAGTGCAAGTATATGCGTGTGTCCCAAACTCCTCAAGAGCTACCTTCTTACTCTATTAATAACTCCCTTCTAGAAAATGTGTCATGTTATAAATACCTAAGGTGTTCACCTTTCAACTGACCTTACCTAGAACACTCACACAGACTACATCGTCAACAACGCTACCCGGGCATTAAGATACCTTCGACGTAATTTTTCAAGAGCACCTTCTTCACTAAAACTACAAGATGCTGGTTCGTCAGAAGCTTGAATATGCGGCATCACTCTGGGATTCAAGCCAAGTCAACCTGACGCAAACGGTTGAATTAGTTCAAAATAACGCAGGCCCGTTACATACTATCCGATTATAACCGTACCTCCAGTGTCACACACATGAAATTTAGGCTTGACCTACCATCTCTAGGATCTCGTCGTAAAGTTCTTCGTCTGTGTCTTTTCCATAAAATATTCTATCACCCTGAACTACGCAGTGAATTCATTCGAGCGCCTCAATACATCTCTGCTCGTTTAGACGACTCAAAGTCAGGATACCCAATGCCTGGACTAACACCTTCTCACAGTCATTTTTTCGCGGACAACCACAGCCTGGAACCACCTTCCCGACTCCATTGCCTGAATACAAAACCAAGTATTGTTAAAAAACACCTTAGCTAACATTGTAAATTAGGTTTTTATTACTTACCTGCCTCTAATTACTGTTCATTGTACTTATCTGCTTTGTTACCTAGCTAACATTGTATAATTAGGAAATGTTTTGTGCTTTATATTGCCTCTAACTTAACTCACTGTATTTGTGTATTACGCACTCCCCTCTGTAATGCCTTCGGGCCCTGAGGGTACAATAAATAAATAAATAAGTAAGTTTAGGGCTGTGAGAATCACTGCAAGGAAAATTTTTGGCGAAAACACACAGAGCGAAAAAGAAAAAGTGGCCACAAATCCAGATTCTCATGCAAGCAACTAACTACAAGCTTGGAGAAGTACTAATAAAGACTTACTTTAACATTAAACACACAGGTTAAACACAAAGCAAAATTTATTTGCCCTAAGTAAAGCCACTGTCTCAAGGGTCTTCACCCTTAAGACAGTGGCTTCCCGAGCACACCAAGAAGTGCCACCTCCACCTGTGAGTATTTCCTAGTCTTAGGCACACAGAAGGTTCGATGCATCTTGGTGGTGGTTTTCAGCTGTTCGTGCTGTGGTTGCTAGTAACGAACTGTGCCGGTGCTATCACCCTTGTAAAGTCGTTTGCGCCTCGTGGCACAGACGTCTCTCGCAGATACCGTATTTACCCGTTTCTACCGTGCCCTCGATTGTAACACGCACCCGGTTTCCACGAGGAAAAAAAGAAGGCATCGATTGCGACGCGCACCCATTTTTCTCGTCGGCCTGCACGATTACACCACTCGGGAAAACGACTCCTTCCGGGAGCGTCTTCCGTTTAAATATGAGGTACGGGGGAAGCTTGTGCCTATCTGACATACAATGGAGCATTGCCGTCACTGTAGTTTTACCGTGGACCAATGTCAGCACGCGAACTTGCTACGCCTCCTTCTTCTCGACGGTGCCAGGCATGTCGAATTAAAGAGGCGTCTGATCGGCATTCCCGATTTGCCCAAGCAGGTAGCCGTTGTTGTGCCGCATGTTTAGGACGAACCTCTAAAGACTGTGAAGCTTTTCTTCGTACTTCTCCGGCAACTTCCGGCATATGCCCGTTCACCTTCGGAGGGAAAAGCCTTTCCTCTTCATAAAGTTAGTTAGCCAGCACCTGCTCGCTTTAAACTGGCTCCGCATTAGCCATTTTTCTAAGGCTAACTGCATAGCCTGCACTTGGAGCAGTTCTGTTGTCACGGGCCGCTGTGCCGCTCACTGCTTAATCACATACTCGCCGAGCAGCTCTTCAATTTGTGGAAACCGACCATGCTGTGCTTCACTAAAGCCTTTGCGTGAATCTTTGCTGTCGACAATATTCTGCTTTTGTTTCCGCCAGTCCCGCACGCACGCTTCGGGATTTCCGAACGACCGCGATGCGGCCAGATTTCCGTCCGTTTCGGCACACGCGATGACTTTTCTTTTAAAAGTGGCATTGTGGTGCACTCGTCGAGTTTTTGGAGTCGGCCCTACCATGCTGTCGATGCTAATGCACTACAAGATGACGAACTCCTCAGTACACGTACGAAGTGCCACACATGGGAAACACATAGGCAGAAATGGCCGACGCGCCAGGCCGACACACATAGGGGGCAGCCATTTTGGAAATGCGGATAGCAATAGAATGACCGTATTAATTTTTTTTTCTTACTCGATTCTAATGCGCATGCGATTTATGAACTCGCTTAACCTGAAAAAATGTGCGCGTTAGATTCGAGTAATAAGGTTAAGCCATATTTAGGGTTAACAGCCGCTGAGCAGTAGGTGGCGCAGCGCTCCTACGCAATCTTAACCATCATCATTATGGTTAGTGTGGTAGCACCAGCAGTGAGACCTGGCGGCGAGGCAAGGTGGCCACACAGTAAAGATCAGGAGACTCTGTTCGATGGTGGCGGCTGGCACAAACAATTGACTCCCGTGGCAGGGTCATAGGGACGGTGCTGCGGGTCGTTTCTCGCGGGAAGATTGTAAAGGTTGGGTTTTGCATGTTAATCACTAGTGATGTATTATTTGATTTGGCTGCCGATATCGTCGATGTAAAAATAGTTCAATAAATGTGTTTGGTTTGGTTCAACCATATCTGCTGTGGCCATTTGCTCTGAGAGTGCTACTTCATTTAGAGACCCCACAGAACACAAAAACTTGTCGACTCTGAAGTGCCTACCAGCAGCCCTGTTGACATCGTTTAGGGCAAGATCAATCACTTTCAGATTAATGCAGCCATGTAAGTTCCATATTGTCCCATAGCATAACTACAGAATGGGCACAATGTGCACTAACACTACCGTGTACTAGAAGCTGTACTAACACACCGCAACGCGCACTTGCCACATTCGTTTGGCTTGGATTAGATTGGGGCTCATGCGTTGATGGTATGCATGATGCTTAATAGGTGGCACCAGGTGGTCATGTACTATCACCATCAGTGGTTGAAAAAAGTAGACAAGATTGCTGCTGCAATTTTCGGGAGTGCGATATTTACTCGCTGGAAAAAAAAAAAACTTATTTTTGCTTAGCAATGCGGGCGGTGCAAGAATTATGTGAGTAAATACGGTACTTCTTTCAACACAATGAAGAAGATGCGACAAGTGACCTCTCACACTGGAACATAGTTGCTGCTACGAAAGCAAGTCTGTTCTTTCGGCCCAGTGAAGTAACTATCAACTCACCATGCCTTTTAACTTGACCCTCTTGTGTTCAATTTTCTCTTTCATGGCCTTCTGCAAGGAGAAACAGTCGTGCTACATTTCCGACCTTTCACCAGCAAAGCAAGAGAGTGGCCAGCTGGGCTAGTTGGTATGTACTAAATGTGGGTCGGATCAGGTGATGACGTAGGCGCCGAGTGGTGTTGGCAATGCATTTTTATTGCCATCGCAAAATCAATGAAAAGACCCCACATAACTGGCATTATCATGCTATATATATATTTGTATATATACACTTCAAACCTAGATGCCATATTTTTTAGTGCAAACAGGAAGAAAAGAAAAAAACTGGCTGAGAAAGCAGTGCACAGGGCAAATTAAACACCAACTGGCTTTATTTCGGAAGAAACCTCGGATGAGACGGATCACCTAAAGCATATGCTCAAGGCCATAGCATAGCTAATCCAACATCGATCTGAAAAATCTGAACTCGTTACCGAAAAAATGAATGGACGTGTTACCAATACGCTCTGTTGCCTTGCTCTTGATAAGGAAAGCTTCCACTCTCTCCCTTCCCAAGGCATCACACCTCTGCCAAAGACCTTGATCTTGTTTGGCCGTGGTGCACAAGTGCAGGCTGAGCAATGGACCAGTAAATGCACATTACAGTCAACGTCCGATTTTTCGGACCCTCAAGAAATCGTGAATATGTTTGGAAGATCGAGCAGACTGGAAAAACGAATACAAGCAACAACACACTTTTTAATAGGTATTTTTATTTTTCTCTGACTGAAAGGATCACGGCAGGCGTACAGGGTTCTCATTGCAATTCAGCAAATGCATCATTTAAGTGGGAGTGACACAGAGCGAAAGAAAGAAGAAGCCCACGTAATTGCGGACCTCAGAAAAAATGGATACACAAAAAACTTCATTTGAGATGCCACCCGCCGCGTGCAGAGCAACAGAGGATACAAAAACCCCAATCCTTAATTGGCAAACCTTAATTGGCAGCCTCACGAAACGCGTACCGGTTTCATACGTTGAGGGAACCAGCGAGATGTTGGCGCGGATCTTCAAGAAGGAAGGGGTTCGCATCGCGCATATGCCTTCGTGTACTTTGGGTCGCCTCCTCCCGCGCCCGAAAAACCGGCCAACAATGGATAGGACCCCCGGTGTCGTTTACAAAATTGCGTGCATCGAGTGCCCTTCGTATATCGGCAAGACGAAAAACCTACTGGAATGACTGAAACAACATGCCAACGATTTGCGGAAGTTCTACAAAGAGCCCAGCGCAGTCGCCAAACATGCTGAGACGTTAAATCACCGGATAAATTTAGAAGTAACGGCCATCCTTGAAAGCGAGCCGAACTGGAGAAGAAGGTTATTACTCGAGTCGTGGCACATACAGAGGTCAGCCCATAATATCAACCGCTCTCTCGGAACCCTTCCCCCTTTGTATACACATGGACTGCGCTCCATGGCAAAAAGAGAGAGAGGGGGTCATTATCCGCCCCGCGAGTGCTTTGAAGACACCGCTGCTACGTAGTCTCCGCAGTCACCCCTGAGAAAGGAACCAAGTCAGTTTCGAAACGTCGGGTTTCTTCAAAACTTTCAGTTGGAGTGTGAATCATCTCCCAGTTTCATACCCCATCAGACAGACTTCTGTCGAATGTTTACATTCCATTTCTGTTGGCTCTTTTCAGAGCCAACAGAAAGAAAGAAAGAAAAACATCCAACGGGACCTGTGCTACTGCATTTGTAAACACTTAGGCACAAAAAGATGTCCCTTACTTTTGTTTGTACGGCATTCTACTTGCCCACAATGATGTCTGCCTAAATTTCAGTTAACGTCATGCTGTCGCTGTACACTGCTGACAGTGTCCGTGCTCGCGTCAACTTTGAGCTCGTTGGCTGTGTAGGTGCTGCCTCTTCGATCTCTGTGCCAGAGTCGCCGGAATGCTCTGGAACTTCACAAATGATTTCGTCATCAGTTGATTCCGCACACAGATCGAGGTCTTCATCAGCATCAGCGAAGCCTCATTTAACCATATGGTGTAGTAGCGCGAAAATCGACGGGGACGAAGAGGACACCAACTAGCCCAGCTCTCAACCCTACTGATCAGCGAAGCCCTTTAGGATTATTCCGACTGGAATCGAAACACCGGCAACGTTGAAGGCAACGTCCGCAGGTGGAAGTTCATCACACACGCTGTCCACACTGGGCGAGAAGACCGTCTCGGCATTCAGTATAAAGCTCCCGTGGTGAAAACAGTCCCAAAGGGTGTCTTTTACCTGTGGTCTCATCTACATAGGCTAAACGGGAAGATGTGTCAGCACCAGGTTGCAAGAACATAGGAGATCGTTGGATACAAAAAAATAGTTCACACTTGCCCAACCATTGCAGCTCATGCGATTGCAAACGCGTTTTTTGTTATGCTATTGTTTTATCAAAACACCCAGATTGGATCACCAGAGAGCTGATAGAGGCGTTTCACATTAGGAAAAGTGGGAAGAAATGCATAAGTGCGCCCTCTGTCACGTTAAGAGAAAAAGAATTTTCATACCTCATCAGCACTCTGGGAATATGATCTGAGGCACGTGTTTTATAGCCCTTTTTTGTTGTTTGCTGTTTCACTTGCCAGGTTATGTGACAGAGATGATATATATGTAACTACTTTTCTTTCAAATAAACTTTAGTTGCGAGTAATGATGAACCAATACCAACTAGCCCAATTATAGAGATTCCGAAGGGTGTGTCGAGTAACTGCCTTCCACAAGTCCGCAAGCGTGCCGACAGCAGACCACAGATCAAGAGCATAGCTTTTCCCACTATCAGAACACAGGCGGCACAGCACCATGCGGCCTAAGCTACGGCTGGCGACTGATTGGCGTGCGCTGGATTGCAGCATTTTCGGTTTTAATAGTACAGCAGCCACACTGCGGTGGGTTCTAGGATCCAAAAACAACCGAAATGGTGGTGTGGATAGTGACCAAGTCTGCAGCTAGCAGTAAAAAGTCTGGAAAATAGAATGACGAACGCTCTATACGTCCAGAATTTCGGACTTTTTGATACATTGACTTTATGGTGAACTTGACGGTTCCCCCGATGAGTCCAGAAATCAGGCATGTTCGGAATTTCGGGCGTTTGAGAAATCGAATGTCGACTGTGAAACGGGGTTTATTGGTGTAAGTAGTACTTGCACAGCAGGTCTATTGATACGAAAAGTGGGCGGTAGCAACCGACACAGGAATCACAACGCTCGAACCAACAGCTCGCACTTGACTCCTCTCTTTTCATGATCCACTGCAGCACATTATCTTCTTCCTCTCTACAATTGTATTATTTTTCAACTACAACTCACGTTCTCATGCACAATTCTTGATGCACCTGATCTACGTAGTGGTAGTACATATACGACGCCTATTGCGCACTTCACGTACAACCTGGCATGACTTTTTTTCATCGCCTACGCATGCGCAAAGGACACTCAGTTTTTGAGGGGCGGCAAACATGACATAACACTGTGTCCTGCTGGCAACCTTCTGAAGGTTGCGGGACATCCTGTGGATATACGGTGCCACCTCCCTCATGCATCACTGGTAATTTCCAGTTTCTCGCCTCTTCAACGCACTTTGGGAGACTGCCTTTGGGAACTAGCTGTCTGTAGCCTTGCCAATTGAAAGCTGCCCGGCATAGTGTGCATGTATGACTTCACCGGAGCAGACTCAAAGCAAAGCATCGCAATACCTCTTTTCTCCAACTAAAAGTGTGCCAAATCATAAGGCAACAACTCTTTGCGCATGTGGGTGGTAGAGCCAGCAAACATGGTCTTCTCTACGATTCCATTTCAAATCTAAAAACTGTTCTGTTGGCAGCTCATGGGTAAAGCTGAAACCCTACCCATGTTCATGAGAAACAGTTAAAATGAGGTCAACACAGTGGTCAGGGGTAAAATCCATGTTAGTCTTTAAAATGATCAAAAAGACGTCAATGTATCAAAAACCCTTCAGGAGTACCTTGTCATCAAGCACAGAACGAACCTTGTTATCAAAAGCAGCCAAAAAATATTTCAGAGCACAGGAGCCACACAACATCCAATGCAAACACCTTGGCATTATACAAGAGTTTCCCTTTAAAAGATAGAAATGTTGCTTTCAAAAAAAAAAAAAAACTACAATAAGTTCATAAAAGTGGGCACAGACATCTCTGTAGAATTCTAAAATTGGACCAAGCCATTGTTATCAATATAACCTTGAACAGTAGCAAGCACTTCTCTTTGGGGCACAGAGTAAAACAAACCTTCAACATCTACTGAGAAAGATGGACCTATTGAATCCCCACTCTGGATGAAGCAATGAACATCTTGAGAAATTTTAGTTATAAAATGGTCGCCAATAACTAGTGAAGTTCACTACTTCTGCAGGAACCGTTTGACAAGCTGTTGCCACTAGCCATGTTCATTAAGTATCATACGGAATGGAATTGCTGGTTTGCGTGATTTCGCTGTGAAAAACACATATAAAACACCCCATTTACAGTCCTTAACACCTTTTGCTACCTGGTAAACACAAGGTCCTCCCAACTGCACAGCCGCCTCCTTCTTAACCTTTGTCGCTTTCTGTTTCACCAAGATGTTCTTTCAATGACCCCGTAGTGCCCTTCCGTCGTAGGCACCTGCAGAAAACACGATAAAACCGCCTTCTTTGTTGAACTGAAGCAGACGTACCTTGTTCTCCTTGAAGAAGGTTAATACACAAGCCATAGGGCCTTTCTTGGTTTTCAGGCCACCACCGTTGACCATTCCTGCGATCACGTTCACGCCCCCTGATAGGCACCTCTCCTGGTTTTGTTTTACAGTCTTGCCAGTGATACATCTATTCATTGCCAGGAGCTCTTGTTGCTGAAGGCTTGATTCATGGCTGTATTTAGCCCTTTGTTAAGTACTTGGGCAATTTTTTCCGGCATCTTAATCTGTGTAATAATACACCATTCTTCTGCAAAAGCCTCTTCTCTACATTTTTAATTCCAGACTAGCCTAACAAGAAGCTTTATTGATGTACTTTTAACCCAGCAG